AACTAACACCGAAAGAAAAATGAAAGTTACTGAAAATAAAAAACTTTATTGCAGTACCTACATACACTTTCTACATCTAATTTTGTTTATTGATCACATTCATTTACTTGAAAAAGTATCAGGCCTATGAATCGTCGTCTGCTAACCACACACCAACCTTCATTGCGTGTGATGGTGTTTCTTCAAAAGCGTGAGTATTTTCTATACACCAAATTCTGAAGTTCTGTCAGTTGACATAATAGCCTAACAGATGAAACCAGGCTTCATCAGAAAAGAACGACAAATCGAGAATCCCGTCATCGTCCATATCAGCTTGAAACCAACTACACTACCCAACGCGGCAAGGAAAATCAGCTGGTTGCAGCTCCTGAACCAACAAAATCTTGTATGGATGCATATGTAACTTCTCTTTTACGATTTTCTGACATGGGCTGTATGGTACTCCGGACAGTAAAGATTTTTGACAAAGCTTTATTCGGACTTTGTTCCATTCTCATCCTTAAATCTTCAACAACGTCTTCACTAACTTGAGGTCTCCCCGTCGGTTTTCACTTAGAAATGCTACCAGTGTCGTTAAATCTGGCCATAATTCGCCATATAGCGTCTTCAAAGATTCTTCATCAATGACAACAGAACATTTCACTAGATACTCGTTTTTAGACGCCTCCACAGAGTACACTCCATCCCCATCCTCATTTAACACCCCATTACGGTAATAGGCATGATGATTGCGCCAAAGGACTAAAAAAATCATTTGTAACACTGACCATAGTTATTCCTCTCTGTTCATTACCTGAGATTATTCCACAATGATCTCTAGTTTTGATAAAAACTGTTTTTTGAGACACTTATTAAAGTTCTAACAAAGGGGAAGACAGCAAAAATGAAAACAAGACAAGGCAATTAACGCACAAAGTGAGGGAAAACGTACCAGTACAAACGAAAAAATTATTGACATCTGACAGAATTTGATGAAGCGTTGAAACAGTGCAGCCGCTAATGTCAACTAATGTGGCGCTAAAAATAAAAATTCCAATATTAGTGTAATCCTTTCCACAAAACTGAAAAAGGCGGCACAAAATGTCACCAAAATCATGGCCTTCTTCGACTACAATATTTTATAATGACCCTGTACAAACACAAGTAAATATACATTACGGTGAACTTATGTACACGCGCGCGGACAACCGACCAGCCATTAGTGTGACGTTCGTCTTCGTCATGGCTACGTTATCGCTGGCGCAGTCGCGCAGACTACCGCCGAACACGATCTCCATCTATGTTTCCTAACACTTCCCTTCGTGTTGAAGGGTCGCGAGTAACCGCACTTTAGTCCTCTAGCCTAGGACACTCAAACCGCTAGCCCGCACGCACTCGACATGTTTCGCTCTCGACAGTCCTTTGGTCAGGAAATCCGCCACTTGTTCTTCAGTACACACGTAGTCCAATTTCAACACGTTGTCTCTTAGGGCCTCGCGCACTTGATTGAATTCCCTCCTGGGTCGTCCCCTCTCTCCAGTTCTGATGATCTTAGGGCGACCGGGTCCTCGTTATGTCTGGGGCTGCACCTGAGGTAGTTCGTCGCCGTCGTCGTCGATCGGAATTGGTTCGTCTCACGTCACTTCCTCGATTTCCGCATCATTCTGAGGTGGGTTTTCTAGTATGGGATCTGCGCCTAAATTCTCGTCGACTTCTTCAGGAATCTCTCGCTTCTCGCGAGCAGGAAATCTGATGTCGACAAATTTCTTCGTGTCGTTCACTTCCTCGCAACATCTATCGATTTCAATTTCGCGGGGTTCGTTCGAAGAATCTTCTAAAAACTTCACGTCTCTGCTGATGATGACTTTCTGTTTCTTAAGAGACCAAATGCGATACCCCTTGTGAGAGTCGTCGTATCCGAGAAAAATCCCCTCTTCTCCTCGGGGAGAAAATTTTCCGTTATCCGGTTCGCGATTCAGGTAATAGACTTTTGACCCAAATACCCTAAAGTTCGAGATGTTCGGCACCTTACCGGTCCACACTTCGAATGGGGTTTTGTTATCTAGACTTTTCGTCGGCAGCCTGTTTCTAACATAGTTCGCGGTGTTAACCGCCTCTGCCCAGAATGAGTCAGGCAACCTGGCATCCAAGAGAAGACATCTTGCCGTTTCCAACAGTGTCCGGTTCTTCCTCTCCGCAACTCCATTCTGTTCCGGGTTGTAAGTAACGGTCAACCTTCTGGTGATGTCTTTGGACTTAAGGTAAGCATCGAATTCGCCGCCCGTATATTCGCCTCCGTTATCCGACTGAAGGCACTTAACTATCCTGCCCTTTTGATTTTCCATCAGCGTGATGAAATCCTTAGTCGCTTGAAGTGCATCGCTTTTGTATCTTAGGAAGCGAACTTCTGTCCATCTCGACTTGTCATCGATGAACTCGATAAAGTACCTGGCCTTGCCTAGAGATTCGGTTCGCATGGGCCCGCAAAGATCAGTGTGTACCATATCCAACACCTCTGTGTTCCGATTCGACTTTTTGAGAAACGGGGTCCTTATCATCTTCCCCTGAAGACATGTCACGCATTCGAAGTTGCCACTGTTAGGTTTTAAGCGAACTCCGCGTTCGACATTTCGCGAAACGGCACTCAACAAATCCTTCGCGTTCGCGTGTCCCGATCGCTTATGCAACAGCTCAAGCGATATGACGTCATCGCTGTCGATCGGTTTCGAGAATGCTACGCGAGCGTCGTGCTCGTCCTCGCTTACAAAGTATAAATCCCCGACCCTTTTGGCAACAAGGTGTATTTTACCTTTTGAGTCCGCAATTGTTGCCTCGTTTTTCCGAAAATTCATGCTGAAGCCCCGATCCGCGATTCTGCTCACCGAAAGAAGATTCGTCCGCAGATCAGGCAGGAATAATGTCTCGTCAAGTGTCACCATAGTCTCTTTGCCGCGCACATTTGATTTGAACCGCACTAATCCTTCGCCAGAAATCTCCGTTGTAGAGTTGTTAGCGAGATTTAAAGTTCCGCGATTACGTTCGTTAAGTTTTTCGAAACTTCGCACGTCACAACACAAGTGCGCCGTCGCGCCACTGTCCAGGCACCATCTAGCGTCGGCGGGAAAGGTTAACTTGTCCTTCGAAGCGTTTAGACAGATATTTGCGAATTTCGTCCTGTCATTTTTGTTGTGGCTCCAACATTCCGCCGCTTTATGACCCTTCTTCTTACACTTAAAGCAGCGAATCTCTTTCCGGTCTCCCTGTTTTGCGCCATTCGTGCTGCCCCATCTACTCTGCCCTTGTTTCACCGCCGCTGGTTTTTTGCCATCATTGCGTCAGAGGAGTTCTGTCGACCATTGCTGCCGCGCATGCTGTTCTTGCGCGCGTCACTCTCTTCTATAATTTTAATACGCAGAATTTTGGGGGTGGGGAGTTCATGCCGCGATTCAATCGCGCATCGGAACATTTCGAAATTCGCGGGCAAGTTGTATAACAATAGAATTGCTAAAAGATCTGGATTTATTGCGATCTCCACATCGCCAAGCTTGTCCACTGTATCAAAAAATTCCCGCAAATGCTCGCGCACGTCGCCGTTTTCAGGCATCTTACACAAAATTAAATTTTTCAAGAGAGTGGCTTTCCTGGCTGGTCCCTTGGATTGATATATGTCCTCCAGTCGTAGCCATATCTCCCTAGACGTACCGCAGTTTTTTATCTGCTTTAACTCCGGCGGACTAATAGATAAAATAACGTCTGACCTTGCCTTAGCATCGTTCTTCTCCCAGTCTGTGACGGCTGCAACATTCGACTTATCCGCCAATAACTTCGGCTTCGGCGTCTGCCCATTGACGTAATTCCAGGCGTCCCCTTTAATCAGTACCGCTTCCATCTGCAACTTCCACGTGTCGAAGTTGTCCTTCCCCAAAGCTTCGATTCTGACCGCACCTGATGCCATTTTGTTTATTCACCGCACAGATAATTTCGAGAATAGAGAAAAGAACCAGCAAATACTCGCGCTACGTTAACACGGCACATGCAATTTGAGTATTCGACTTAACACCACGTGTTAGTCCTCAATGGCCGACGCGCACAGCTTCCGGTTCACCGTTTCGCGGACCGACATTTCCGCACGTGTTTTTTAATTCGCTCACGTGGTTCCTCTGGGCCCATAACCTGTTAGTTATATGAGGCACGTGGAACGAAAACACCAACAACAGTTAACACATTTATTATACAAACACAAGTAAATATACATTACGGTGAACTTATGTACATGCGCGCGGACAACCGACCAGCCATTATTGTGACGTTCGTCTTCGTCATGGCTACGTCATCGCTGGCGCAGTCGCTCAGACTACCGCCGAACACGCGCTCCATCTATGTTTCCTAAAGCCCGGTACACACTTGAGCGCACATGCAGTGAGAACGCATGAATATGCGTGCGTTCTCAGGTACTGTGTCCATTTTGGTATTTTTATTTAAACACATGCGTGCGTTCTCGGCAGAGCTCAGCCCGTACGACCACACAGTAACCACCACATTCGCAGTAAAGATGGCAGATGAAGTGGTCATTGCGGGGGCAGCTTTCATCATTATGTATAAACTTGCATTAAACAAGAAAAAGAAGAAAAATAGACGATGGTGGATTACACCGCTATATAGTAGTAGAAAAAGTGATTCTAATATTCTACAGTCCATGCTGATAGAAGAAGATACAGGACATTTTAAGAATTTTGTTCGCATGTCGTCTGCGGATTTTGAGGTGCTACTGAATTTGATTGGTCCAAAGATTGAAAAGAAAAATACATTCTTGAGAAATTCGGTTCCAGTCAAAGAGCGTCTTGCTATAACGCTCCGTTTTCTTGCGACTGGAGATTCCTACACGAGCCTACAATATCTTTTTAAAGTATCAAAACAGTTAATTTCAATGATAGTGCCAGAAGTGTGTCGTGTTTTAATCGAGGCCCTACAGAATTACGTTAAGGTATGTATATATATATTAGATAATGAAACTATAGTAATTTCTTTAATAAAATATTTAATTGTGTAAAACTAACTATATTAGTGATACAAATTTCCATCGGCAACCGTATTATGTGATGACTGCGGACTAAGCACACAGTTATCAGACACATATTGCGATTGCGGTGACAGTAGTGGGTCACTGCTAGTCGAAGAGCTGGGGCGAGTACCAGTAGCTAACAAAGGATTGGTCGTCGGAATATCGTAGTATCCTATATCGGCTTCAAATAGGATATTATTAATTGCATGTTCTACATACACCTGCGTTCTGGGGGTATATGTTCTCAACTTCGCTGCTACGTGTTGAGAAAAAATATTAAACCTATCTGCTGGTAACTGCGATTGCGACATAGTGTACCGATTATGAGTATCTTTCAGCAGTTGCAATGCCTCGTTCAGCTGCGTGTCGCCTTTATCGTGTTTCATTCTTTTAGGCTTAGGTGGTCTTCCATGTGGAGACTTCACATTTTCCGTGGAAAGAACAGGCACATCTTCTGGAACATTTTCTGATGGTTCAGTTAGTGTATCCTCTCCATAGTCCTCTTGAGACGTACCGGCTTCATTCTGCGAGTCGTCAACTTCATCCTACAAATCACCATGATATAATTCCCAACATAATTTTTATTGCCGTTTTGTTTATCGATATTTTCGGTTAGAATTTTAACTATATCTACTTTATAAAAAATTATTAAACTGATCTAGTGTGATTTGTTCTTTTTTTTTTTTTAGATGCCATCAACGGCTAATGAGTGGGAGGTTATAGCAAAGCAATATGAAGAAATGTGGAATTTTCCACATTGTATTGGCGCTATGGTTCAGCAAGGGTTCACCAGAAAGAATTTTCAATTATCGACTTAGTAGAGCACGAAGAGTCGTTGAAAATGTTTTCGGGATTGCGTCTTCAGTTTTCCGAGTGTTAAGAAAACCAATGCTACTACAACCAGAAAAAGCAGAAATTATTGTGTTAGCAGTGGTGTACCTGCATAACTTTTTACGAAAATCGCCATTGTCAAGAAATCTTTATAGTCCACCTGGAACATTCGATTCTGATGACACAACAGGAAATTTTGTCCCTGGTACCTGGAGAACAACGTTAAACGAACAAACTACATCTCTATTATCTCTCAGGAATCTTCCCCGTAGATCAGCAGAAAATGCAAAGGCAGTTCGACACGAATTTACAGAATACTTTTCTACTACTGGACGTCTACCTTGGCAAAACAACTACGCTTAAGTTGAATTCATTTTTCACTATACTTACCAGAGTTTCAGTGTCGACAGTGGGCCGACTTTCATCTTTGTCAAGTAAAAACATCATTCTCTGGAAAGCAAACCATTTCGACACATATACTTCCTGGCGTCCTGCAAATGAAGTCATTAAGATATTTTAATTAGATACTGAAGTTAATAAAATTTGTGAAATAATAACATTTTATTGTACACTTACCTTTTCCACTGCCTACTGTTTTTTTTCCTTTGCTTTTCTGGCTTCTGAAGGAACCCAGCAAACTATTCATTTTGCTTTTCACCTCTTGCAACTCCATATCCAATTTTGTCGCAATTTCCACCCAAGCGTCATGTTTTTTCTTTTTGGAAAAATATTGTGGATGTTTCGCGTTCCACAATAGCGGATATTTTTCGTAAATATCCACCAATTCTAAACATTTTTCATGGCTCCACTCTTCGCACATGTTGCATTCGCACTGTCACCGTCCAAACTGAGAACACATGCATGCGTTGAGTCCTTTGAGAAATGTCAAAAGACCGACACGTTTTGGCTCGCTACATGTGCGCTCGCAGTGTCTCGTGAAACAAAAAACATGTGTCGAGAAAAGGCGAGAAGCCCGTCCACACTAGAGAACGCACGCACGTCTCATGCGTTCTCGCTGCATGTGCGCTCAAGTGTATACCGGGCTTAACAGTGAGGAACGCGACCCAGGCATCGAGGGGAAATGTTGAAGAAGACGATGGTTCGCGCCTTCTTCTGGCGCATGTGCGAACCGCAGGTCGCTGTGGTACCGGGTAGCGGGTCGTACTTTCTCTCTGCTTGCGACTTCCGTACGGTTAAGATGGTTATAGTTATGTATAGTATGTAAGTCAATATATGTTCGGTCATAGCTCCTGCGGCTTTTTATTGCCCTTTTACCTTACCGTCCTTTAATAATTCCATTCTACAACATCTCTTGGCGGATGTACATATCAGCGAAATTCAACTAAGGAGCTAAAAGATTGTCAAAATTTGCAAGAACCTATGTTTCAAACTCTTTGCAGATAATAGATATGTATGTTAATATGTAGGCAGAGATTTCTTAATAACCTAGATACGGTGATCCTATGCAAAAGCGAACATACGTTCTTGGCCAACATGTACACTATGCGTTTTGCTTTCCATCTTCTTTTACAGCATGGGAACGCAGGAGTATGATTTTGTAGGTCTTTGTTTAAACCTAGCAATTTACGATTTTGCGCAGTAAACCCTTAAACTCTGCTAGCGCAAGTCGGTTCTTAATTCATACAATCTCCGGTGTTTGTGTGTTTGTTAGTTTGTTCTAAGAGATTTCTTAGGTTATAAGATTTATATCACGGTTATAAGTTTAAATTGCATAGAATTTCTAAAAATGGGTTACAGAGTGTGTGTTGTATGCAAAGAAAGATCTAATAATTCTTTTGTTTCGCAAAAATATTACAAAGATTTTTAATAATCCCGACATGAACAATCAGTGCATTTCTCAGGGATTACTAGATAATCACAAAATACAAGTGATGAAGGCAAGAGCGCAAATTTAAAATTATTAATTTAAAAGTCCGCTTGCAACACGAAGCAAAACTGGTAAATTTTGCTTCAAAACAGGCGAAAATAAGAAGTAAATTAGTAAAATACATTTTATTTAATAATGGGTAACTAAGATTACATTAAATCACCAATATTTAATAATAATGTTAATAAATTTATACCACAGCTGTACGTCTTTTTTCTTTTTCGTTTTAAGCTCTCAACATTGTGCATGCAAATAAATACAATACGATTCTCTATTTTCTATTTATGTTAGAAACGTTCGTGGCAACAAAAACTTTTGACTATAAGAAAATTGTATTATGTCATTTTTCAAGAGTTTCGCCGGTGTGAATGATAAAGAAAAAGTACGAAAAAAGTGAAGTCGACAGTCAAATTTATTCCAACGATCTTGTCCGTGTAATATTTTAATCTTAACATTGCTTAGAAACTTTTCGTTTACCACTTGTTAAAAAACTCGAGTTATTATTCTCTTTTATACCATTTTAAATCAGTGCGCCAAATTATCAACCAATGTTAACAGTCGCTAGAAGTAGACGAAGATAACACTAGTATGTAGTGCACACTACAACGAGTAAGAGAAAGACAGAGAACTGAAAGTATGTCGACACTATTTTCATACATGTTGTTCCACACTTTGCTGCTCATAGCCGTATCTAGGTTACTAAGAAATCTCTGTATGTAGGTACTTGTTTTTGGCGAATACAAAGATCGACTGAACACAAAATTTCGTCAACCATACAGCTTGCTCCCTGTTGAAATCCAGATCCATGCTCGAGGTCGTCCTAAAACCACATGTACTCCATAATCAGAGGAGAAAGGTCTTAGATGTTATGACAAGAGCAAACTTATACCACACACCCTTAAATATATCTAATATTGAAAAACTGCACACGTCATAAACATTAGAAAACCTCATAACAAAGACCACTACACGTACAAGATTTACGTGAAAATCATATTAACAAGAAAATGTCTTCGACTTACTTAATTACAGAAAAGATATCACTAAAGATGCAAGCCTAAGAAATCACTGTTTTCGACTTTGTAAAGAAAAACCCGAAACGGTTTAATATATAATAATTATTTCATCCTGTAGTGTCTTGTAACTGACCACAAAGTTAGACAGGACAACATATACGAGATTATTCAGGAAGAATTACTAAAAATTCTGAACTAAATTCAAGATAAGACATCTTATTACACTTTCATTCCTACCCCTATTGCTTGAAAACTCCGAATCGCGTTATCTTTGGATTGTACAACCTAATTGAGAATTAATATTACAACCAACAGATGCAGACATCATCCTTATAAAGAAATACTTCAACGAAGCCATTCCTATTGACGTTACTATTCCTAACACAAACAACTTAACATTAACATAACAAAATCGAATTTCCAAATGTCTACAATTATGGATGTTATGAAGGCAATGCTGTTTTCAAGGTCAGTGTAGTACCCAGTAACTTAGTTGAGAACTTGAAATTTTTATATTTAAACGTGTCAATAATATTGTCAAAAGTCAAAAAGCTGTTTTATTAAGAATATATCATGCTGTTTCTAAGTTTCTCCTAGTTAGTTAGAGTAGATCAGAGTAGTTTAGGTTGTTCATACAATCAAGGGAAACATAAACGAAATCAAAGTATATATTAACAACAACCGCATACATCACAAAATATTAGTAAAAGACCAACGGACAACATGGTGCTGACGTCAATACCAATTTGTCTGCTTGTCTAACATGGCGTCTCTCAGATGCGCCGTGGCTCTCCACACAATGTTCTAGAGTCTAGACAACCGAGACTCGTATCCTCAAATGGAGATGACATTCCTACACTTCCCCTCGAGGCAAACGTCTCGCAGTTGTCCGTTCGACGCTGTTTCTTCCACCGGGATCTTAGTCCTGTTTCGATTATCCCCGGTCGACTTGGGGCTCTGAAACGACTTTGATCGCGTTTGTCTTCGAAGATGATGCCGCGCACATCGGTTTCTTCATCTACGGGATGATGCAACTGGACCTTGACATCTATTACGTCGTGTTATCGCTGGCCATCACGGGCCTCACTCCACCAGCTGGGAAGGAATGCTCTGCGTCGGCTGAAGGTCGAACCTCTGGCGAATCTCCCTGGCCCGCCCGACTTGATGGGTGTGGCGACTTGTCACTGCGGTGCGCACCGGCTGGAACATTTTGGGAACGAAGTCCTCGACAACTTCCTTTGAATGCAGGTGTCCCACCAGACCACTTCGGTACGATTTTTCCGCTCTAGCCCAATCACGCAATCGCGGTACTCTATCTATATAGGGACACTAGGGTACTTTTCAGATGATGGGCGCATAGATGATCGGTAATCCCGCTAGGCTCATGGGAATGGGGCGAGATTGGAGAATAAAGTAGACGAATCTGAATGTTGTACTTAATTCTAGGTCGTTGAAAGTTGTTTTATTTTATATCAGTTTTTATCAATTGGTCACAGTACCCGTACTGATGAAAGTCTTGTCTGAATTCTGATCATGTTCAGGTCAGTGGTGGATCTAATATAACAATAATAGTGATAATAAAAAATGCAAGATCCTAATTTATTCTAGAACACAATAAATAAGAAGCTTAGGTTTGTGGTCTAGTATCGGGTGATTCAGATGATCCTTAATCAATGAGCCCTTTAGAAAGGTATACGGTTTGTCTTTACTAACATCATATTGTTATTTTACACATTTTGCTTATTTGGATGTTGATTGGTGGCCTGAAAATTCGAAATAAAATTTATTTTTGGAAAATTTTCGCAATACACTTTATTTAAATTTAGAAAAAGTGTTCAAAATGTCCCCCTCATGTTGCAATTAACTAATTCGAAATCTTTTCATATTTTCAAACACGTTAATGAAACACTGAGATAATATAGCCTGACAAACTTTAGTATTAGCATTTTGTAGTTCATTAATGTCATTAGTGTGATTCTGGAATACGGTATTTTTAATGTGGCTGAATAGAAAAAAATCCAGGAGACAAGGATTTGAAAGGCTACAAATGAACCGAGATCAAGTGTTCGTCAATTGCTTATGTACGTGGTTTTGAGGTTAGAAAATCTTTTTTCGTTATTGAAGGAAAAGTCCTGTGGATTTGATAAAAACCAAAGCTTTACCTTGCTCGACAACGATATTCAATAAAGGTCGAGTTCAAATAACGGCACTTTTGACTTGTTTATTTAAAAAGATGTTCAAAATTACAAAGCCAAGGACCCAAAAGTAAGTTTTCGATACCTGAGTACAAACAAGTGACAAGTCAGTCCAAAAAAAACTACAAGTGGATCCAAAAAAGTCATAAGTGGAAGTCCATCATTCTCAAAATGGAATTTTGCGTCACCAATGATTAAAAAAGCTCTAGGTCTATTCTAAAGTTATTTAATGTCATCTTCAACCGATTAAAAACTAAAACTAGGTGAAGTCACAAAAGAATTTTAATTACATTTTGATGTGAGAAGTAAACTGTAAAATTGCAGTTACAGTTACAGTTTACTTTACACTTCGTGGACGTAATAGTATTGAAGGTATGTGATTATTGCACTAGTTGTATGGGACGTAGAACCGCCTCGCTGCAGTTCTTGTCATCCAGTTGGTTGTTGTAAAATCACTTGCCGATATCTAAATTTATAGTCGTTTCGAATTTTTAAGAAAATTTATTTGTGTTAATCGCCTACGAGACAGCCCCATCCAAATATCTATTTTTTGAGAAACTTCTTCAAATTTACGGAGATTTACAACTCACCATATTCTCATAATTTGGAATTTATAAAATAATCCAAATAAATCCGTCTCGTCGCTATAGAACGTAAAATTTAGTAAGTCATCATTCATATTTTGCTCAAACCATCGAGAGTAATCCAAGCGTTTAAGATAATTTGGGAATTTTCATTCTTGCAACACTTGAACATTACATTTGTAACTTGTTCTTCAAAATTCTTTGACAAATGATTAACTAATTAATATCAACTTAAAACTTTTTAACGAAATGGACAGGTCTTCTTTCACTTTTGCCCTAACGTTTTCAATAACTTCTCAAGTTCTAACTGAAACAGTTCGACCTGGCCTTTTTTTACAATATATCCTCTTTTTCTACAA